GGGTCAATTTACCAAACCATATTGAGCACTTGAAAAAATTCAGTAACTACAGAGAAATATTCAATGTTCAAGGCTGGACAATGCTAATATCACATAAATGACTATACTACCAAAGTTAATTTACAGATTTAATGCAATAATAATGAAGCTACCAAAGGGATATTTTAAAGAGATAGACAATATAATAATAATATTTGTTTGGGGAAATAAAAGATCTACAATATCGAGAAAAACAATAGAACTTGATAGAAAGAATGATACTTCCAGACAACAAACTAGATAGTAAAGAAGCACTCAACAAAACAATTAGGAACTGATGAAAAAATAGAAAAGTAACTCAAGGAAGAATAAAAATAATTCATCTAAATGACCCAGTATTCAATAAATCTAAAAATATAAATTACCTAAGAAGTCCCTGTTTGTTTAAAAAAAATGCTGGGGAAACTGAAAAGTATAGAAGAAACTAGGCTTAAACTAGCATCTTACAATATATTGTACAATAAATTCAACATTGGATTTAAATTTATGTGACTTCAGTGTTAAAGATCATACATATTTTTTAATCTAAAGAGAAACAAACCACATATATTTCATAGCTACAGGTGGGGGAAGGTGAATTGTTGATCAAACAAGAGATAGAGACAACTACAAAAGATAAAAATAAATAATTTTGATTACATCAAAACAAGTTATTTGCAGAAACAAAGTTTACATATGTAGGATAAAGGAAGCAGTAGCCTGAGAAAAATATCTTTGTATCAAATATCTTTGATAAGAGCTTGATACCCAACATACATAAACAACTAACAAACATAAAAGACTAAAGGTCATTCCCTGATTAGAGGTCAAAGGATATAAATCAACAGTTCTCAAAAGAATCACAAACTATTCACAACCACATAAAAGAATGTTCCAAATCACAAATAATGAGAGAAACAAATGCAATCAAACTCTGAGGTTTGACCTCACATCAGAAAATTGGCAAAGATGGCAAAAAAATCAGAATAGTCATTGCTGGATGGATTGTAGAAACAGGTACACTAATGCATTGTTGGTGGAACTGGGAAATAATGCAACCATCCTAGAAAGCAATTTGGAATTACGTAAAGAAAACAACTGAAATGCCCATACTCTTTGACCCAGATTGCACTAATAAGCACACACTAGTAGGATGTTAATTACCAAAAGGAAAAAAAAAAAAGGCTCCAGATACATCAAAATGTTTATAGCAACAAGACCTGGAAACAGTATAGATGCCCATTAAATGGAAATTGGATTTTTAAAGTGTGGTACATGAATGTATTATCACTGTTGTAAAAAATAGAAGGGGGAAACAAAAGCATAGAAAGATGCAAGGTCCAGAATTACCCCACCTAGGGAATCCTGCCTCTCCCTCCCCAAACAGTAGGTCAAGTTCTATACCAAAGGAAGAGGCCAAGGCCAGATTGATTACAGGTATTAGTGAATTGGGTTACTTACATTAGGGGACATATGATGGATTCCTGCCAGGAATTAACAATCTTCAATATGGGGCAACAGCCAGACCATAGGTTGGATCCCCGAGCAAATAAAAAAAGATAAAAAAAAAAAAAAAAGCCTTTGTAGATCCTTAATGTTAATGCCTTCCCTCATTGTTGTTGTCATTGTTCAGTCTTTCAGCTGTGGCCAACTCTTCATGACCCCATGGACCATGGCACTCTCAAAATCTGTATCACGTCATGTTAGTTGTTTCCATGATACTGTCTCATATTCTGCCATTCCCTTTGCCTTCTGCATTCAATCTTTCCCAACTTTCTCAATGAGTCTCGTCTTCTCTTTATGTGGCCAAAATATTTAAGCTTAAGCTTCAGTATCTGACCTTCCAGTGAATAGCCTGAATTAATCTTTAAGTATTGACTGATGAATTGATCTCCATGCTATCCAAGACTCTCAAGTCTTCTCTAGTACCACCATTTGTATATAGTTGTTTGCATGTTGTCTTTCCTCATTAGAATGTAAGCTCCTTGAAGGTAGGGACTGGTTTCATCTTTCTTTGTAGCCCCAAAACTTAGCACAGTACCTAGAACATAGTAGGCACTTCATAAATGCTTGTCAATTTGACGTGACTTGTTATTCATATAGGAGGATGAGTCATGAACTAAGGCTGATTTAAACAAAATTTCAAAATACTTTATTTCAGAAATAGAAATGTTGCCAACCTTATATTGCACAAATCATTAGTAACACATTCAGAAGCAGAGATGAGGGTAAATATGATCATAAATGTTTTAGGTAATGTTGATGGAAAAATAAAATTTATTTTATAACCTCTACCTTGAATTAATGATCTACCATGATAGCAAGGAGGGAAGGGAGGAGAGACATGAGGTAATCCATTAACTATACTTCCTTTTATAATAATACAGTACAGTACAATACAATACAAATACCTAGATATGGATATGGTTAGAAGTACTATCTACAAGCAGCTTGGGAAGGGGCAGATGGTGTTGAGTGGGAAAGAAATTTAGGGAATAGTATTCCTCTGTCAGTATGATATACTTATTCAGCAAGAAAATCCACAGGGTTGGCTTCGTCACCACCACGATGCCCTAACCAGCCAAAGATAAAAGAATTTACTTTATGATCTGATTCAGTGCTCCCTAATTATTATGAATAAATAACATTAGGAAATCCGCAAACAACTATGCACAAGTGCATATTAACAAATCGTTAATAACATTCTTACATAGCAATTTGACTTGGGTCCTAGACATCACTAGAACTGAAGATCCTCAAGAAGGCCTTCAAAAAGATACATGAATACAAAGTGCACCTGAATCAGTCCAGTACATGATAACAAAAATACAAGACTGTCCCATAATTAAAAAATAGCAGGGAATGATTAATATTTTAAAAAATAATTGGGGTAATAAGGAAATTGGGTAATTAAGGTAGGTTATAAAATCTATTCTAAAGAAGGATCAATACAAATGTTCCATTCATAATAAACAAAGTATATTTACAGGTCAAAAACTACCCTGAGTTGGAATAACTCCCTATTCTATAGCACTTTTCAGGTTCAAAAAGTACTTTCCTCAAAACAACCCTATGAAGTAAGAAGTGTTAGCATTATCCCAATGATATACTAATTTTACAAATGAGGAAACTGAGACTCAGGGGAGGCTGTAACTTCCAAGATCACGTGGCTAGTAAGTTTATCAACTGATTTTTCATTCAATTGGTACTGATATCTCTCAATGCCTCATCTTGGGCTAGTCTTGAAGGTTTGGATCCATTAAGTTTCATTGTAAGACAGTAAAAATACAGCAGAAAGGATATTGGATCTGGAATTTGGACACCTGCGTTCAAATTCTGGCTTGGCAACATACATATGGCTTTGGGCAAATCAACCTCTCTAATCCAATAAAAGGAGGTTAATATTTATACTACCCTGCAACTCACATGGACATCAATTCACATCGTGAATGTAAAATTCTTTGTAAAATCAATCACAAAGTAGAATGTAAAGGAAAAGAAACTGAAGTTTAGAGAGGCTAATAAGGAGCCAGAATTCAAATCCAGAACTACTTCTATCAAATAAAGGACTCTTTCCAGTATATCACAGCTATTTCTATCTAACTTAAAATGTCCAACACATCAAGTTGGATAATGATTAAAGCTGAAAAGGTTGGACCAGCAGAGGATAGCTGACAAAAGGAAGTAATCATTTTCCTCACAAATGAAGTGTATTTTGGTATCTTCAAGGGAAAGGTGAAGGTGATTTTTAATTACTCTGTTTTCCAACCTTTTGCCTTTGATTTTTCTCCTCCATCCATTACCTTCAACTCAGCCAGAATTTGAGCTGCACTGATACCAACACTTTTATCAAACTAGAACCTACAACTAAACCTAGATAAGTGAAATTCACAAGCAGATTTCACAACCTGAATAAATCAAGACATACTTAGTTTAGCAGGAGGGGCTGATTTTAAACAAATAGAAATTCACTAGGGTGCTTGTTTTTTTCTTTTGCTAAGCACAATTTAGAGAAACCACACTCTTAACATACAAACCAAAGCTAACTGCATTAAAACAGAAACTGACTAGGTATTAAAGTGACATCCTTTTCATGACAGTACTACTTAGGTACCATCAGCAGAGTGAACTTTTTGAGTTTTTCAAGTAGTCATGGTAACAGAATGTAAACTGATCTAACCACAAGCACTAATCTGCATTTACTCCCCTTATAACCAACACGAAGTATATTTTATAAAGGCTGGCTGAGGCAGGTGTACCAGCCCTGAGGGAAGGGTCAAACCTGAATGCACTGTGCTTTAACAAAAAACCAACTGGAATATAAATTATTACAGTACAACTTCTAAAAATTAAATTTCTTCAACAGGTCTCAAAAAGATATGACTACCACACTGTTCAAGTATATTAACATGCTTAATAATTTCTTCAATTGCAAATCACTCTAACCCAGTTAAGTGATAAGCTGCTTTAGAAAGCAATCTATATATGAATGGCTTATATAAAACGTGAATGTGTTATGAGATTTGGCTAGCTAAAACATTTCTTTGCTTTCTGCTCTGACAGTCTACTGACAAAAAATTATCTCAAACTGTACAGTTGGATATTTAACCTTTTTCCAATAGACATAATCAAGGTGGAATTTGACAGTTACAGGAGTATATGCTATAACTGGAAGTTTGTACTTCTAGCACCTCTCTCCATATGCAACATAAAATTTGTCACTAAGTCAATATTTAAGCCATTTCCTATGATAGTAAATAAGTTAATACATGTAGCAATGGTGATAAATTAGGATTTTAGACTTTCTGTTGTTGCATGTTGACTGAATATTACAAGGTAGAGAGGAAAATCCTTGAGACATGTTTTCATATGAATTACAGGAATATTATTAAAACAAGGCAAAAGTGGTTTGAATGCTTACAAAATAGAATACTATACTATAGATTGTGGAAATGTTATAAAGGAACAATTAAGTAACAGAGTATCTGGAAATATTTTATTACATATACTTGGCTTAACTAAAGTAAACGTAAATACAGTTACACTAAAAACTTCAGTTACACATCAAAGTTAAACTGTACAAAATACAAATAACATTATCACATGTAAGCCACCTCTACAACGGACCCCCAACTTTTTACAATGAAAAATGGAATGGAAAGTACACAAAGGAAAAAACCACCATCAGGTCAATTTTTTAAGTCTTCCACCAAACTATGCTTGGCCATGTAAAAAAACAAGTTGACAATGACAGTCATTTCCCATGGTGACGTTTTATCCTGTGTACAATTTCCCCACCCAATGTCAATTCACATTGAAGAGATTATGAACCATTAATACTCTGGCACTTGACAATAAAAAGTTTCATTTTAGTCCTAAGAAGTACTATTCATGGAAAAAGAAATGACAGCTGGTTATACATATCCTGTATAACGAAGAGAAGGCGCCAATGTCCAGTGAGAGTTCTTTTGAAACACAAAGGTCTTGAGGAAAAATGTAATGGTCTTGAAATAACTGTTCGAGATTCACATTTCACATTTCAAGAACACTTTCATCTTAAGCATTATACCCTCAGACAAACATTTCAAAAAGACATGACAATTCAGTGAAAGTTGTAAACAGGCTTCTTTGGACACAATGAAAGCAACCTATTTAAGAGGGGGGATGATCTTCACCCCGGATACTTCGGTACTTAGCCATGTCTTCTGGAAACACTTTAGAAAGCTCTTGAATCAACAGGCTTTTAAATTTCTGTGAAGAAAAACAGAAAATGTCAAAAGATATCTATTTTTGATCTATCATCTAGGTCAGGCCTACACAACCTGTGGCCCACAGGCCTGCCAAAGGATTTCAGGCGGCCCACGAGAAACAGAGGATGTTTTCCTCTACATTTTTCATGGATCACAGAAATCCTTTGGCGTGCCATAAGCAGCCTGCAGGCTGTAAGCAGCCCGTGGGCCGCAGGTTGTGCAGGTCTGATCTAGGTTAAGCTTTATACAGAACATGAATGCTACACAACACTTAAAACTGAACCAGATCTACTCAAAAGTATTCATACAAAACTGGCCTACATTTCATTAAAGCTTAACATCCATAGTTTGTTAGTGTTTACTGATATATTTGACATAGGACTTATTTTAGCTAGAAAAACTAGTTTCAAATTAACCAATTTAAAAGTTTCTTTCAAAATGACCTCAACAATGCATATGCATTCAAAGATTCCTATCCACCTACCCACCCCTACACCAAGCACACACCCTTCTTGCTTCAAGTAAAAGTACTACCTTCTCCCAGAAGGGAAACACACAGCTGGAACTGATTTTGGCAGACAACTCACTTAACAGGATTCCACAAATAGGATCTAATTAAGCAACTGCACCTTAACTATACCAAACTTACTGTCTGCAAACAGTTTATAGAAAAGATCTTCAGAACACCTGGGAATCTACTCCAAACATCATGACATGAACTGGCATTATTTTGATTAAATTTTCAACAGCTGTCCATTTGTACAGTAAATCAGTTATTTCTTATATACTATTCCAATAAGAACTAAAATATTTTAAAGTAACAATTCACATTTGTATAGAGCTTTAAAGCTTGCAAAACCTTTTCCTTACAACAACTCTCTAACACAGACAGAGTACGTACTTTTATCTCCATGTTGTAGATGGGAAAAATGTAGATGGGGAAACAAAGGCTTTGGGATGTTAGAAGGCAGGTAGGATTACACAACTAGTAATGTTACTAGATAAGGTAGGAAATGAATCCAGGTAACCTAAATCCAGCATTCTATCCACTCTCCCACAGTGCAACAAAGTTCAAGTAATATTCAAAGTCCAATTCTACAATAATTATTTAAAATGGAACTTTTGATTAAAAAAAAGTCTTTTATAACAAAGGTCCACACTTGAGAAAATCAAAGTGATAGAACCATGAACAGGGATGTCAAACAGTCAAGAAGTGAAGAAAATGAAAAACCATGATAAAGAATGCCAAAATGAAGACAAATGGAACAGTCACGAAGCATTACTGCCTTAAGTGAATTTTCTGAACTGTGCAAAGAGAACTAAGTATAAAAATTGTCACACTAGCACATAAAATCACTCAGTGGATGCCTGGACAGACACTCAGCAAATGCTTGGGCAATTGTAGCCATGTTGGTTTACCCTCAAAAGTTCCAAGCAGCCAGGCCCCTTGCTATTTCATTTCAATCTTTGTCTACACAGAGTCTAGCACAATGCTTGACACACAGGTGCTTAATAAGTGATTGCTGCCTGATTTATAAACAGCAGTAAGGATGTCAGATGTATAGTACACCATTTAAAACAGTCAAAATATCATTAATTTCTAGGTACAATCATGTAAGTTATATATAGCCAAATAAGGAGGAAAGCTCTACCCTTAATCCTGTGAATTATGTTAAATTCCAATACCTGAAATCATACTGATTACACTACTCCCCTAAAAAAAAAAAAAATGAACAGCATAGTTCCAAATATGGAAGAATGAAAAATGGGCCTGCAATTGTACCTATTCTTTGAATTTGAACAAAGCTTTTACCAACATTTCTTGAAGAAACACTGCAAAATAAACAACAGCATATTACTAAGCATTCCTTGCAAGCCAAGAGGCAAAAAAAATTCAACCATCTGGGTTCAAGCATTATTTTTCCTTTGACTTGTTCACCTTTGCTCAGAGCTTTTTTCAAAAATTGTTACATTCAGAGCCACTGTGTGTTCTGCACCACTTTGACCCTGATTCATGAATCTAATTTAAAATAAATTATATATTATTGGTTTTCTCCCCTTGGGGAGAGGTTAAATATAAGTAGTATTAATTCTAATACTTTCAACACCTGTCTCTGACTGAAAGAAACAGAGACATAAACAGAAAATTTCAGATAATTTGAAATTTTGAGGTAATCTCAGATTAGCCTATCGATTTTTTTCTAAGGGAGAGAAAAAATTCCTATACTTAGGTGCAGAATTCAACACATAGTAGATAATATTTTAAGTATTATCAATTACCTACATAGCACAGTAAATAAAGTACTAGACTTGGAATAGGGAAGACATGAATTCTAATTGTGCCTCAGATGTTTACTAGTTGTCTAGCCCTAGGCAAATAACAATTCCTCTTGACCTCAGTTTCCTCATCTGTTAAATGGGGATAGCACCCCAGGGATATTGCCAAGATCAAATGAGATAGCACATGTAAAGTGCTTTGTAAACCTTGAAGTGCTATATAAATGTTAGCTATTATTATCATAACTATTTTTAAAACAAAAGGCAAAAGTTACACAGGGGAGCTGAGAATCATAATAAGTAGGAAGAAAGCAGTTGGAAAGAATGTGTAACAAAATGGAAATGAAAACAGAAGCTGGAGACTCTTTCATGGGAAATACAAAAAAGTGAGATATTAAGGAATATAATAAGCCTGGGGAATATAAATATGGAGGTAATTCTTAGCAGGACAGCCTAGAAAATAGCAAAATAAAGAAAAGTACAATAAGTAAGCAAAAAGGATAGTGCTAGACCTGCAGTCAGAAAGACCCAAGTTCAAATCCAGCCTCCAATACTTAGTAGCTGTGTTAGTCACGTTTCTACCAGCAACAATTTAACAATGATAGTGATAATAATAATGTTGATGATGACAATAATAATAGCATTTATATAGCACTTTAAGGTTTGCAAAGAGCTTTACAAATATTATGTCACTTTTTCTTCACATCAACCCTGGAAGGTAGGAGCTCTGATCCCTATCTTACAGATAATGGATGACAGAACTAAAGCAAAAAGAGGTTAAATGATATAGGCAGGATCACATAGTTAATAATAATTAATAATAATTCAGATCTTCTTGAATGCAGATCCAGCATTCTATCCACTGTTCCACCCAGCTGCTTGAAGACAGCTAATATTAAGCAGAATTTTGTTGGGCTGTTTATTTTTACCTAAGAGATAAAATTTCAGAAATCCTAACCATGAAATATTTCAATTCTTCCTACATTGAACGAAAATAACAAAAAGACAGAAAAAGGCAGGCTCTTCTCACCAAATTTCTCTTTATTCAAATCCTGAAAACTTTTTCACCGTATCATGACAATCTTACCTTCATAGTGTCAATTTTGCCTTTAACTTGTTCATTTTTGGCTAGGGCCCTCTCTAAGCACTCTTTGGTGTACAGCTGGGGATTGCGGCCTTGATCAATATATCTGAAAACATGAAACACCTCATGTTAAATTATCATTAAGAATAAAATACTCTACAAAACAAAGTAACTAAAACATTAGCTATATGAAAAGGATAGCTGCTAAGGTACTCCCTGTCAAAAGAATTCAATTTACAAAATTATTTAACCTGTAAAAGCAATATATGTTTACTTTTTTTGAATGAGTGTCAAATCAACTGTCTTTTACACATTAGACCAAGAAGTAAAAGATCTACTACTAAACTTCTGCTAATACTAATAAACAGAATCAAAAAATATATCATTTCTAAGTTAAATAAGTATCAAAAGTCATGATAATTTTTGTCTGGCATTTTGATTTTTCAAATTGCTTTTACTTCTATTACTTCATTTTAATTCTCAAAACAATTTTGTGAAGTAGAGTACACATTATACTCATCTGACAGATGAGAATGCTTCAAAAATTGGCATATTCTATAAATTCCACTTAAGTTACATTTCAGGGAGCAGGTGGAATGAAAGAAACAGAATTAACCAACATTCCAAACACAATCCATCAAGTTCCAAAGGAGAAAATAGGCAGCCTTGCATAACATGGTCAGTAACAACATGGAGAAGAAAGTTCTGTGGTGGGTGCGAAGAGAGTTCAAGGGCTGGGGAAACAGCACAAGAGACAGAATAAATAACACGGTCCTTTGAGGGTTGGAAATGTTATATTTTTGTCTTAGTATCTCCCAGTACTTTGCACACAGTTGGTACTTAATATGCTTCTACATTCCGTCAATCAGTCAATAGCATTTAAAGACATACTATCTGAGAGATACAGTGTTGGGTGCTCGGAATGCAAATACAATGAGAGAGTCTCTCAAGTCAAAGAATTTGCATTGTAATGGGGGGAGAGGCACAACAGGAATGTTAACATGTTCAGGTAAATAAACATAATATACAGAGGACATACACATCTGCTAACCAGACAGAATTGGAGTCAACTTCCATAAATCACTTATACTGTAAGAACCTCTAGGACTGACTGTGACAGAACTTAAGAGTTTGTTTGCTTTTCTCTAAACCTCCTCAGTGCTTACTACTGTGTTAACTATTTGCTGAATGAATACCTGATCACCAGATGTATAACTAGTTACGCTTACACATCAGGACCTTCCCCATTTTGGTTTCAATATATCTTGGATAGGCATAAGAAATTAAATGAGAATTTTTGGAGAGTTTTGAAGAGGCCATAGAAGACACAAAAAGACCAGCAGATGACAAAGAAAAATACTTAACCCAAATTTTACACTAAGATACTATAAACACCCCATAAAAGAAAAAGAATTCAGATTTCTCTGGTATGTAGGGAGAGGCAAAAAACTTAACATGGCTCTTCCAGATCGCAGGATTGCCTTGACCCTAGGACTTTGATGTGGAAGGGATAACTGTATAGTAACCACCCTAGTAGCCATGGGCAGTTGAAAAGGCTAATTCTAAAGCAGTAATTCCTTCCCTACAATGCATGCATACCAACATTTTACTTGAAATTGCATTTTCACTCTTAAGTGCCTACCCCTGTTTCTAACTGCCTCAAAGATTGATCACGTGCTCTATGTTACTGCTTAAAGAACTAGACTCATTCCATGTCTATGCTTTTATTTTCCAGAAGTCTGGGGTCATACCATATTTTCAAAGCTCTACTTCAGTGGGTCTTGAGAAGGATCTTTCACCCTTTTTTGCTACCGCTCCATTCTTAATCATCACTGCAGGATGTGAGCTTCTTCAGCTACATTGTTTCTACAGCATTCTATGCCCTCAGCAACAGCAACAGGCTCAAATTTCCCATGTTGGAACTATCCTGTCAACTTCTTGGAGTCCATGTTGACATTATTTTTTCACTTGTTGGACTACAGGAAGGGGGAGAAAAATGAGCCAAAATGATCAGAACTGCCAGTTCTATTTCTTGTAGTTACTGAATGGATGCTAAACTAGATGTTTCCATTATAAAAGGTAGGACAATATAACAATTTCCACTTCTGCACTTTAACATTCATGGGAAACCTGCTATCTTAATTTTTAAACAGTATTTTTTTAAAAAATACATTATTACACACTTGTTCCTCTAAGACTATTTATTATACTAAAATTATTGTCTAGCCTCTAAAATAGGGATAAAGATTAGACCAATGATTTCACTGATACAGGGAACTGCTAAGTGAGGAAACTCTTCATCAATGCAAACTGTCACCTTCTCACAACTTATAATCTTAAGAGAGTTGCCTAGTGCAACTAGGCAACTTAACTGAGAGGTTAAGTGACTTGCCCAGGAGCACACAGCCAGTATGTGCGAGAGCTAGTATGTATGTAACCATTTATCCTATGTAGCCAAGAAAAGAAAGGTCTATAAGGAGAAAATATTAGCTCTCTCCATAAAGAGGGCTTAAAAACTCATGAGGGTATTCTTTATGTTTTTAATAATCCTTAAGCTATATGAATACTCTGTCAATTTTTAAAGAGTCTAGAACCTGGCAATTTTTTAGGAGAGGATTATTTAGGCTAATTCTCTCCACATACCCTAGTTACTCAAGAGTTTTAATAGTAAACTACTATCAAAAATTATACTTACTCAAAAACTTCTAAAGGGACACTAATATCATGAAGTTGCTGTCGACACTTGTCAATATCCTGTAAGCCAGTCACAATAAAATTCCTAGGCATAAAACAAAAATTAAATCCATGGTTAGATACTTGAAGCACTAACAACAAAGCCCATATTCTATTAAAACACACACACACACCATCCCGCTGACCTGAATTCAATTACAGTACTTTCCCTCTTGAATCACTGCCTTGTTATGGTGGAGGGGCTTGCATAGCTCAGTGACACTTTAAGTTATGCTGTGTAGGGTTACCCAAGATGGACGGGTCATCGTGGAGAGCTCTAAAAAGGAAATCCACTGGAGAAGGAAGTGGCAAACCACTTCAGTATCTTTGCCAAGAAAACCCCACAGAAAACGGCAGAGGACAGAAGGGCCTGGTGTGCTATGGTCCATGGGGTCATGAAGAGGCAGATACAACTGGACAACTGCCCCTCTGGGGTCCCTTGTGAGCTTGTCACTTCATCTTAATGAACTGTTTTTTCATCTGTAAATTGAGGGGAAATGAACTATATGTCTATTATGAACCATTCCAGTTCCACATCTACGAGTCAGTTTCTTTTACGTGTAGATGCACATATGTGTGTACAAGTGTGTATGTATACACACACATGTCTACATATGCACATGAATGTTTGTAGAGGAGGGTGTATATGTATTCACATTTATATACTATATATTATAACCATACTCTTACCTCCTATATCTGTATATTAATAGTGAGAACACATAGTGTATACATGCATGCATGTATAATACATGTATAAAATGATCCTATGGTGGGTGTATTCTGTTCTCTAGAAGAGCAGACGTATAGAAGATAGATATGCACACATTCATATTACACATATACATATACCTATACCAATCTCTCTACATGTTACTTTGTCTGAAACTTTTTTCTTATCTGTTCACAGTGCTAAAAGCACAGAATTAAAGTGTTCAAGAAAAACTTGTCGATGTGGTTAATTTATCTTCTCTCCATAAGCTGCAGATTCTTGGACATTAGGAGCTATATTCAAGTTCTATAACCACTCCTGCAGCTGACAGTTTCTCCCTTTCTAGCTCCCATGCCAGCCTTAACTTTTCAGTAAATTCATATTTACAGAGTAATAGACGATTTACAGAGTGCTTTCCTCAACAACCCTGAGAGGTAATAGAAGTACATTTAGCCCCACTTTACAAAAGGGAAAGATGAGCCTAGGAAGTTGAGTCGCCCAAAGTCCTAGCAATCAGTCTGCAATGACACTCGAACCCACAACTCCAGGCTCCAAATCCAATGCTTTCCCCACTAAATCGAGGTGCCTAATTATAACATATCAGTGGTTTCGTTTTAGAAAAAAGGGCTTCTTCCCCGCTGCTGTCCCCCCTCCTCAAAGCAGGGGTGCAGTAACCTGCAGCAGCGACCGCGGGGAAAGCCGGCAGCAGCGCAGCCTCCCCCGAGGGCTCGCCTCCCCGCGCCCCGGGTGGCTTCTCCGTGTTCTCCAGACAAGCGCCCGCAGCCCCAGGCCCAGAGGACCCCGGGGAGGGGAGGCTGGAGGGGGGGAGGGGAGATTAGGGGGAGGGGGGAGGGGGCGACGACCCTCACAGTTTCTGGTTGAGCCCCGCCTGGCTGCTGGGCTGGAAGTCGCTGACGATAATGCCGAGCTGGCGGATGTTCTCCACGAACTTCTCCAGATGTTCCTCCAGGTGGTCAAACTTCTCCGCCATCTCCGCACCTGGGAAGCCGCCGCGTCTTTGAACCGCACTAGGGAGACCACAACGCCACCTCCGCCGCGGCCGTCCCCGCTCCTCTTCCTACTTCCGGCCAGGGCCACAGACTTCCGTTTCCGCTCGTTGCCCCGCCCCTCTCGGCTCCGTTCCCCTCCTCGGAGTCTGGCCAGGCTGGGCAGGCGCGGTGGGGGAGGAGCTGCTGTCCCAGGCCGCTCCTCCGTGCCCCCCCCCGACGCCTCCCGCCTCGCTCTCTGGAAGCCCTAAGGAAAGTGGAGTTAACTCTTTTGAGCCACCAATCCCCGTGTCATGCCCACCTGAAAAACTTGAACTCCCAGGTCTGCTTCTTAACTGTGTGACCTTGACCAAGTCACTTCACTTCTCTGGTCCTCAGGCCCCTGCCAATGCAAAGGTTGGGCTAGACTAGTCATTGTGGCAGTCTGTTAAAGCCTATGGACCCTTCTCAGAATAACATTTTTAAATGCATAAAATAAAATATACAGGGTTCCAAAGGAAACCAATTATATTAAAATAAGGATTGTTTTTTTTCCTATCCCCAAGTTCACAGGACCCCCCTGAAATCTTTCCACAGACCCCTAAGAACCTCTGGCCTGGATAATCTACCAGGTCGCTTCCAACTCTTTAGTTAAGATGATCCTATGACCTCTCCTATGCCCCATTGCTACTACTCCCATCAGAAAAACCCCAAATTATTAGTAATAAGCAACACAGACATCAAGAAGGGCACTGGAGGCAGAAGGGACCCAAGGCAACGGCCACCAACTCACGTTATTAGGCTCATAGCCTTTCTATTCAATAGGTCCCTGAATTCAGTAAGGGATGATCCCAGAATTTGTGAAAGACCAAGAAACACAGGTCTTTCATGCAGTAAACACAACAGCCAAACAAAGAAAAAAAATAAAATTTGGGGAAAGAAACACAAAATTTCTAAGGTTCCTTCCAGCCCTAAATTCCTGGATCTAGAATAAGTCATAGAATCTTGAGTCTTCCCTCTTCATGATTCCTCCTCAATACCAGCCAACATCCTTCCTAGCCAATTAGCCACAAAATCTGAAAGAACTAATCAATCAACAAGCATGTGTTTAGTTCCTACTCTATACCAGGCATATGAGCAATCTCTGCCCTCAGGGAATATACATTCTAGGGAGATGGGGGCGGGAGGAGAGGAATAAATACAAAGCAACTGGAAAAAAACACTAGAAGCTATGAGTTGCATAGGGGTTTCACAGCTTCATAGAAAAATGTGTCCTTGAACTTTCTCTTAAAGGAAGTGAGGTATTCTATAAGGCAGAGGTGAGAGGGAATGCATGCTAGGCAAGGAGATTGGAGATAGGGTGTCTATGAGAAATTGGGAGATCAGTTTGAAGTATTTTGTTGTTGTTCAGTCATGTCCAGCTCTTCATGACCCCATTTGAGGTTTTCTTGGCAAAGATACTGGAGTGATTTGCCATTTCCTTCTCTAGCTCATTTTACAGATGAGGAAACTGAGACAAGTGACTTGTCTAGGGTCACACAACTAGGAAGAATCTGGCCTTGCTTGCCCTGAGGCTAGTATCCAGGCAAATCTCTCTCAGGGAGATGGGCCTCTGCAAGGTGCTATAGTTTCCACCTCTTTTCTCAGCACCCATGGTCAGAAGACCCAATAAAGTTCTCCATGACAAAATCCTTGACACCATCAATGTTCAAGTAAGAATTCAGGTCTTCCTGACTCCAGGGCCAGCACCATCCACTGTGCCACCTGGCTGCCCATATGAAATATGTGAGTATAGGGTATATGTATAAAGTATAGAGTACAGCAAAGCTGGAAAATAGACTGCTGCCAGTATGTGAAAGATTTTAGAAGCCAGACAGTGGAATTTATATTTTTTTCCAAGAAGCAATAGAGAGTTACTGTAGTTTATACAGGAGGGGAATAATATGGTCAGATCTTTGCTTAAAGATAATTAATAATTTGAGATTTTTCTGTTGGGAGCAGTAGCAATAGGGCAGAAGGGGAGATCATAGGATCATAGAATGTTGAGTTGGAAATTACCTTGGAGATTATCCAATCCAGGTGTTCTTAGTCTGCAGTTTACAGACAAATTTCAGGGGGTCCCGTCAACTTGGATGAGAAAAAAAATAACATCTTTATTTCAATATAATTGGTTTCCTTTGTAATTCTATAAGGAAAACAACTTTAGCAACTTTGTAGTGGAGAAACACTTGAGGAAGAGAGATCCATTAGGAGGCCATTGTGGTAGTCCATTGTGATGAAGGCCTAAACTAAGCAGTAGTAGCTGTGTGAGTAAAAATAATGGGTTGGATTTGAGAGATGTTTTGGAGGTAGAAATGTTAAGATTTGACAATTAATTAGATATGATGGTTCTTTGAGAGAAGGGAACCAAGGATAACTTTGAGGTTACAAACCTAGAAGACAAGAAGAATGGCAATTCCCCCTACAGAAACAGGGAAGTTTGGTAGAGGGATGGGCTTTAGGGCAAAGAAAATTAGTTCTGTTTTGGATATGTCAAGTTTAAGATATCTCTCAGACATTCAATTAGAAATGCCCAATAGTCACTTGGTGATATGGGACTGGAGCTCAGAAGAACCCAAGAACAGGAGCAGCACCAAGACAATCCATCGGATCTGCTTCCAGCCTAGCCTCCACTGCCTTCATCCGCTGGAGCAGTGCCTTAAAAAGGGATGCACCATCTCTGCCACCACCAAAACCATCGGTCAATCAACTGTGAAAAATGAGCAGTTAAACACAAGAACCCCAGGAACAGCAGTAATAGCCTCGCTTGCCCTGAAGCTGGTATCCAGGCAAGCGACTCTTGGTTCCCCAAGGACCTGTCGACTGCCTCTGCAGGTGCTGTAGTCCCTACCTTCTCTTCAGCCATAGTTGGAAGACCCAATGAAGAAAGTTCTCCATGCCAAAGTCCTTGACACCATCAAGGTTCAAAGTAGAAATTAATATTATTTTATTAATCGAAAGAAGATGCGTTGCCATCTACTTTGCTACTACATTCTAATCAGCAATGGACCACTCCATGTGGCATATAATTAAATCTGCTAAATGTGCTGTCTCCCCATTAGGATATGAGCTCCTTGAGATTAAGGACTATCTTACTTTTTTATTTGTGGCTCCAGAGCTTTGCACATAGAAAATATTTAATAAGTGCTTTTTCATTCATTCATTCATTTATTCATTATCTATAGCCCTATATATGGAAAGTCATGGATGACTCCAATATTGTAAACCTGGAGATTGGAATGATGGTGGTATCCTCAACAGAAACAGGGAAATTTGTAAAATTATGGATTTGCACAGGGATATAAGGCAGCTAGGTGGTACAGTGGATAGTTCCCTGGGCTTGGAGTCAGGAAGGCCTGAGTTCAAATCAGTCTTGAGACACTTACTAGCTGTGTGACTCTGGGCAAGTCACCTAGCTCTGTTTGCCTTATTATCCTTATATGTTAAATGAGCCAGAGGAGGAAATGACAAACCACTCCAGTATGTTTGCCAAAAACAACAACAACAACAACAAAAACCCAATGGAGTCCCAAAGAGTTGGACATGACTGAAACAAATGAACAACAACAGCACCACCACAAGTATATAATGAGTTCTCCTTCGTATATGTTGTATTTGACATGCATACAATACTGGTTCCAAACTACGTTCCTAGACATCTCACATTATTCCCCCTCATGTACTTTATACTTAAGCCACACTGGACTACTCATCATCCCCCAAATATATCCTATCTTTTCCCACCTTTGATCGTGATGTTCCCTGTGCCTAGACTATCCTCTGTCCCCCATCTCTGCTGGTTGACCTCTTACTTTTCTTTCAAGACCTAGTTCAAATGTCAATGACACCATGGTTTCCTTTGTTACTCCAGTTGAAAGTGATTTCTTCTTCGTCTATACATATAGCACTGTGTAATGCCATGATTCAACAAATATTTATTGCCACTGTGGCTGTAGAAGTAGGCATTAGAGAAAATAAGTGAGAGAAGGTACCTAATCTAAAAATATGTACAAAAATAAATGTAGGACAAATTAGAATGCAAAGTTTAATTCAGCTTTCTTAATCTTAACTTGTATTATAATTAATTTGTTAACATCCTGTCATCACCACCACACTGTAAACTCCTTGAGGACAATAGCTATGTGTCATTTATCTGGGTATGTTGCCCAGTACCCAGAAGTGCATTCATTGCGCATAATGATGTGGGGCCCACTGCTATTTCTTCACTGACAGTTACAGAGTAGCAGAAAATTATAAAAATAACACTGCAAGTAGCACCAAGAATAACAATTATTAGACTATCTCTAGCTACTAACTTAATTTGGCAAGTGACATGGCACAGAAAACCTAGGTTCAAATCCCATCTCTTCCACTTAGTACTGGTATGAGCTTAGCAGTGTGCCTGACTTATAGTAGGTGCTTTAATGTTAGTTGAATGACTTACTGATTTTAGGAAAGTAATGTAACCTCTCTAGGTTTTCCTCATCATCCTAGTAAGCTGCTTTTTCTCCCAGTAGAATGTAAACTTGAGGGCAGGGACTATTTTATTTTTGTCTTTGCAATTCTATTACCTAGTACTGAGCCTTGTGGGTACTAAATGGGTACTAAATAAATTCTTGTTGAATTGAATTTTACTGAATTTCCTCTTAAAATGCTATGGGAAAATGGGGTGGTTGTGGTGGTGGTGGTGGTGGTTGTTAAGTAAACTCCTGATCTTGGCATTGAAAACCCTCTGTGATCTGGGTTCCATCTAGGTATGCAGTCTGGAGCTGTAGAAAGGGCACTGAATTTGGAGTGCTGGTGAGATGTTAGTTACTATGATTATCTCATAATCTACCCTTTTACACAGTGTACACTTCAGAAAAACTGTTCCCATTCTTGATCTGCTCTCTACTGTCTCTGTGCCTTTTATCCCCCATGCCTAAGATGTTTCCTCTCCTCTCCTTTTTCCCCAAACATTATCTATTTTCCTCAAAGTTAGCACAGCATTTTGCCTTTACCTCTGAAATTTCACAATCTCCTTTGTATCATGGTTGTATACATCTCACTGTTTTCCTATTG